TGATCAATCAATTGCAAGCATGACTCCCTCCTCCCCTGCCAATTACTGTTTATGTGTAGCTATACAAAATCCCCACAAAAGATACCTGAAATTGATGCAAGTTCCCACAGTTGGAAGTATAATAAAAGGGTTTTGTATTTAAAAAGTGTTCAATATGTCAGTTTACTAGGTCCCACCGTTTATATTGTAGACATGGGCAATTTGACAATGTATTCTAGGTGACTTATAATCTCGACTGGATATTGAAATGACATGTTTCAATTTCCATAAAGCTTACACCAAGAACTGATCTGTATAAATTACATGGACTTGCAAGCTCAGAAAAAGGTGTTGCCAAAAACATTGTGGATGGAGGGTGACGTGAAATCAACTGACCACAGCCAGTTTTTGTCCAATTTAATATTAAATGTTATGAATTATTTTTTGACATATAAATTGTATAGAATATAAACCTCCCGACTCTTCAACGTTTTCAAAATGTAGTGATGAGAATCAAGGAATTTATTTTATGTGGCCTAATACAGCCTCAGCTATATGTTATGAATATATAATCAAGTTTTACAATCACACATGACACCTGAGGTCACACCTCGCAAAATATGGGGGGGGGGCAAATTAAGGGGCCAACATACGACCACCTTTTGCAGCTGGAAATAGAAATTGTTCACACATAAATTACAATACCTTCAATTGCAGAATCGTCATCGCTGGCAGTTTTGTTTTCTTCCTCTGCACAAAAACAATTTAACCCGTCTTTCATTTTGATGTAAATAGCACCCTGGCCAGCAAGAAGTTTCACTTGCTTGAAGGAATACTCTTGAGAAGTAACTGGAATGCTCAATTTACGACGATTCGCACAAAGAAACACAAAATCATTGTTCCTAACCAATGGATATTTCAGTCTGATTGCCTCACCAATTTTTGTTCTAATGTTTGATTCACTGTCTGTAGTTATTAGATTAATGAATCCTCTTAGCATGCAGTTATTGACGGTAATCATGTATTCGTCGCACTCGTCCTCCTCGTCAAAGTTCATCAAGGCAAACTCAAAAGGCTTCTGCTGCTCATTGTTCTTTTTTGCTTTCTTTGCTTCGCTGGTATTAGTTGCAGGAGAAGCTGATCTTGGGGAGGCTCGTAAGCGTTCTGGTTGATTTAGGCGAGAACACAATCCTGACATTGTGAACCGCTGCAGCATTAACCGCGCACGACCGACTGTACCCGCAACTGTGTTGTTGTCGACAGTTGAGGGAGAGCTGGTTGAAGAACTAGATTGGCTTGTTGGATGCTCATCGGAATTAGATAAAATTCGATTAACAATCTTGGAACATTCTCCAAGGGAAGACGCGAGTTGTTTTAACTGATCACCGTCCATATTATAAATTTATAATATTAAAATTTCTTGGCGGGAAACTTACTAAGTTCTGTGTCCTGGATATACAGTGCTAAGTTCCCGGATGTACAGTGTGCTCACGCTTCCGGTTGTTGAATTGAAGTTGAATTTTCATTGAATTGAAGTTGAATTTTCATTGAATTGAAGTTGAATTTTCATTGAATTGAAGTTGAATTTTCATTGAATTGAAGTTGAATTTTCATTGAATTGAAGTTGAATTTTCATTGAATTGAAGTTGAATTTTCATTGAATTGAAGTTGAATTTTCATTGAATTGAAGTTGAATTTTCATTGAATTGAAGTTGAATATTAATTGAAGTTGAATTTTCATTGAATTGACGTTGAATTTTCCATTGAATTTTCCATTGAATTAACGTTAAATATGTTTATTGAATATTGCTACAATCGGCTTGCCATAAGCCATCCAACAAATGTGCTTACGGTGAGACAAAAAATTTTACCGATGGGAAAATGAGGTCATTTGAAAAGCAAACGGTTGGAAAATAAAGAGCCTGGGTAGAGAGGCTATGCCTCAGTGGAAGCTAGTGGAAATGTCAGACAGTCCGATCGATTGACCGGATCCATCGGACAAATGTGCTTACGGTCGGACAAAAATTTTACCGATGGCAAAGTGAGGTCATTTGGAAAGCAAACGGTTGGAAAATAAAGAGCCTGGAAAGGAGGCTATGCCTCTTTGAAAGTTGAAATGTCAGACGGTCCGATCGATCGGATCCATCGGACAAATGTGCTTACGGCCGGATAAAAATTTTACCGATGGAAAAATGAGGTCATTTGAAAAGCAAACGGTTAGGAAATAAAAAGCCTGGGAAGGAGGGTATGCCTCATTGAAAGTGGAAATGTCAGACGATCCGATCGATCGATCGGATCCATCGGATAAATGTGCTTACGGTCGGACTGAAAATTTTACCAATGGCAAAATGACGTCATTTGAAAAGCAAACGGTTGGAAAATAAAGAGTCTGGAAAGGAGGCTCAACCTCGTACCCAGGGTCTTTACTCGTGGTGGTGGGGAGTAAAGACCCTGGCTGCGGCTGGTCACGTGAGCCCCCAAAATTTCATCGCCTTAGGGGGTGTGGGCGAAGTGTCATATTACAAACTTCCACTTGACGGCAATTTCTGTTGCGTTTCCGCCATGCTGGACTACATTGCCTTCTTATCGTGTGTAGAATTTGCGGTTTTAAATAGTTTATACCTAGAAACTATTCTGAAACCAAAGCAAGTTATTTGTCTAGAGAGCTTGTATCTAAAGAAGGACGTGGTATGTGTTTTACCGACCGGTTATGGCAAATCCTTAATTTTTCATCTTTTGCCATTGTCTTTGCAAAATACCATTTGCGTGACGCTTTAATCCAGCACCGAGAGGTATTTCTAAGATGTTAGTTACCTCGATTGTCATTGTTGTATCGCCATTAAATTCCCTAATGAGTGATCAAGTATCGCGTCTAAGTATGAGTGGCATTCGAGCGTCTATTGTTGGTGTAAAAGAATCGAGAAGGGAACAATTTGACGACGACTCTGAAGACCAAAATATAGATGTTGACTTCAGCGAATGTGAAGATAAAAAGTTACGCGATGGTCAATACAACATTGTCTTTGCGCATCCAGAAACACTTATTTCAAGCAAATATGGACGCGAATTATTGTTAAGCGAAATATACCAAGAAAATGTCCTTGCAATCGTTATAGACGAAGCTCATTGTATATTAGACTGGTTAGTATCAACTATCAAGTTACGTTTCTAAAAGTGTTTCTGATTTTCATGCTAGGATCGCAATAATAAAATCTAGGCTGATCAATTTTTAAATACTGTAAGTAGTTTTTCAGAAATTAAGCCTTATGTCAAAAATGTGCTCAATGTGAAGCTTAAGTTTAATACATTCAATTTCATTGCAGGGGAAGTGTCAAAAGGATGATGGCAGATTAGGAGTGCTGTGTGCACTGTTCCCAGATGTGCCTGTAATTGCAATTACAGCAACAGCAAGTCAGACTGACATTAAATATATTCAGGATTCATTAGGACTAAAGAATTGTAAGTGTGTCACTGCCAATCCAGATCGGAAAAATATTTTCTACCAAAAAACCTTTCGACATGGTCAAGATGTTGATACAGTTCAATCAATTTTAATCCCGATAGAAAAGGGTCTTTTACTAGAGAAAATAAACTATCCATTAACAATTGTTTATGTACCATTACGATTATGTGGGTTTGTGTACAGGATGTTCGAACATGTTCTTGGTGCTGAACAATATTTTCCTCCCAGATCTGCTTCAATCCCAGCAAACCGGCTGTTTGCACAATTTCATGCCCCTCAAACCACACAAATGAAAGATGAAATTTTAAAACAGCTTTGTTCTGGACAGAGTACTATTCGTGTGGTTTTTGCAACTGTGGCTATAGGGATGGGTGTGGACATTCCCAACATTCGTCAGGTCATTCATATTGGGCCTCCAAGTACTGTAAAGGCCTATTTCCAGGAGACAGGACGTGCTGGCAGAGATGGCAAACCTTCATCAGCTCACTTGCACTACAACAACAAGGACATTGCAAAAAATAGGGTGGGCATGCAAGATGATATGCGTGAGTTTGCTCAAGTGACAATATATGTCTTAGGAAGTTACTGCTGAAATCGCTCGATTACGAACAGGATGCATACATTAACCCACTCCACCTTTGTTGTGATGTTTGTAAGAAGCAGTGTATTTGTTCCTTGTGCTTGAACATTATGGACAACCAATCAAATTTGCAGTAGAGGATTGGTAATTATTGTAATAATGGAACATGGGACTGTTTAGGTTTCAGACAATGCATTGTCAATGTCAATCACCATTCCTCTATTGTAATTTTGAATGACTGACAGGCAGGAAAATTGCAATTAGTGTAAATAATTTGCCAATACTATATATATATTCTTTTAAAAAAAATTTCTTAAAATCTACAATGTACAAATTCATAAGATTTGTGTTCATATGACCAGTGGAAGTGCAAATGTGTTATTTACAATACATTTATATAAAAACTGATATAAAAAATTTCTATAGGCTAATAGTGCATTCTCTACTAAAGTTTCTGTAAGTATTAGATTTCTTTACAATTACAACCATTGAAAACAATTTTTTTGTTTCATGAAATGTGTGATACAATCAAAATCGATACAATCGACATTGTCAATAAATAGAAAACAAATCATATAACAAATTTCTCATCTTTTCAATTCATGAGCCTCAAATACTACTCTATATTTATAGTATAGGGCAAATTAAACATTTTCCAAAACAACTATTTCTTGAACATACATAATTGCATGCCCCTGAGGTTCCAAAATGATTGACAATTATTGCCATGATTTTAAAACCTGTAGCAGAATACAATTTTGTGTGCCTAAAAAATTCATTTTTGGACAATGGGTTAAGATGAAAGAAATTTTGCATTTGTAATTTACAGATCAATTAGTGGCAAACATTGATTCAATCAAAACCTTAGCAGTTCACTTAAAACTATCAAATACTTGTTTGAGGTAGATTACTCACAGTTTTGTGGCACAGGCAATTATCACTCGTGTGACAGTTCGGCATCTTCTGAAGGATAGTGCATTAAAATATTTTTCTTGTGCCTATCAATCCATGTTGTAAACTTATCCTTGCTAATGCTTGGGTGGGATTACATGAAATATTTGGAAAAGACTCAAATGATCTTCCATCCTTCTTGAAAGGCTTCAAGACTCTTATGTCTCTGCTTATAATTTTTTCGTCATCAGTTGCGGATTTGTGTGAGTGAGTGGTTGACTTCGGATGAATGTTCACTTGATGTTCAAATGCCTCCACTATTTTTGTTACTCCTCCTGATGCTTTACTTGCTCTGCTTATTGCCTTGTCAGTCTTGTTGGCACCCATTGCACGAATCAACTTCTTCATCTCACAGTTCCTGTTTTCTTGGAAGAGATCAATTTCAATATTTTTGCCAGCACCACCTTTCCAATTCACTGTAGCAGCCCATTTACAGCGATGAGCTTCGACGGTTGAGAGCAACACTTTGGACTGTAGGATATTGATGAGCATTTCAATAGCGAACTCATTAAATCCTGATGTTGCAAAAAAGTGAACCAGCAGTTGTTTTCGCAGGATTAGGAGGTGTTCACCATTGCCTGAGGATACAGCATCCTTGAAATCATTAAGGAGCATAAAACACTTTATGATGTTGATTCCATAGCTCCAAACACCATCATCTTCAATGTTGTCTCCATCTTCATCTTCATCATACACATCCTCATCATCAATGAAAAGAAACTCATCAATAAATTTGTCAAGCACCTGGACAATATAGCTCTTTCTGTATTCTTCTTGCAATACATGAACACTATGAGGACCGTTTGCTGCTGGCTTGTGTTTTGTGTCGTCCATTTGGAAAAATTCCAAAAGGGCCTCAATCACAAAACACTTACCAACACTGTAAAACAGCTGCTCACAGTCCTCATAGTGCTTTACGTCGACAGTGACATTTCGTCGGTTCAGCTTCTCTCTAAAGAATCGCAGCGTTCCTTTCTCTCTCCCGGAGTTCTTGTAAAGTCTCTTGAACACTGTCTGTAGAATATTACATGGTAAAATATATATTGCACATTTGATTTATAAACATAATGAACTTTTCAAAGGCAAATTTGGAGCCAGATCACAAAGTACATTCAGTTCAGGATATAAAAAATCACCTGTACATCAAATGTTATATGTGACTGCTTTAAAACTCAAAAGTAAATTACTGGTATTTGAAATGGTACAAATATTCACAATTTAACACAATTTTTGTACTTTTAACAGGTGTCACAAAAAAATTTAACCAACTGAAATAAACTCTAATGCATGTAAGCAGGGCTAGTTTTATTGTAACACCTGGTACTCGTCTTAAAAATGTGAAAAAATGTAAGGCTCTACTTACAAGCAGTCAATTTCAAATTTAATTAATGGCATATCAAGCCTTCCAATGTTATAATTACTGAAGAAATCAAATGCTAAGAATTTTTTTAGGCAAAGTGGCACAAAGTCAATTGTACCTTCAAAAAACTTCTTTTGGTGTGCCAGTCGACAATACAAAACGGATATAGATGATCCAGTCTCTGTTTAGCTGAATGGCATCCAGCTCTAAGATCCTTTGCCCCAGCAAATCTGACTCGAGTGAGTTGATCACCAAAGCAAGGTATTTTTACACCATGTAAAGGATCATCATCAGTTGTAGCAGGTGGTACGTGTGAGGCTGGTTGATCAGGTCTGGATGTGGTCCCAATGCTTGGTGCGGCATCATCAGGTTCTGAGGGGGAACATAGCCCAGCAGCTGCATATATTTCTTCCGTCCACTTCTCAAGCTGATCCAATACATCCACACATTCTGAATATTTCTTTTCATCTTTCATTAAGATGGGCATTGTCACAACTTCTGACTTGGCTGACATATTCTTGGTTTGTTGGCAATCAGTGGCTCCAGGTATATATGGCTTGAATATTGCAAAAGCAGGAAAATGTTCAAACAAAAGCCTGGCAACAAGTATTCTATATCTGCTTCTGATTGCCTCAGATTCCAGTCGATTGATATTCACCAGCTGGTGGACATTGCAATCTTTAAGACTTTGCTGTGGACCAGAATCGGGCAATCCTTCATCAGAAACTCGATTAAATACAATACTTGTTGCCACAGCATGAACACTCCTGTTTTGCACATTCTGCCTCATGTCATGGGCCTTCTCCTCCCAGTCAATGTTGTCTAACACATACACAAATTTATGTCCAGACTTCACCAACTCTGCTGCATGATCTATAAAACTCTTTCCAATGTCTTCTAGAATTGGGTATTTCTTCATAGGCTCAAGGCACAGACCATACTTGTTTAAACGGGAAATCAGCTGAAACATTATGAAAAGTAGAAGGATTGAGTTCAGGAAAATATATTGAGCTCACACACTGCTTTTGAAAAATAGATAAGATATAGGTAGTGATCCCAGTCTAGGTCCAAACATAACCTATTTTGTACTAATAAGTTATGTTTAATGATGTCAATAAATTTAAAAGAATCATGCTATGCTTCATGCTGGTCATGTATTGCTTGACACTAGGGGCATAACTAGAGTAGTAATTGGTGGGGTGAATATTCATATGTTCTGCTGCCTGCGTTTTTTTTTAAACACATGTACAGTATATGCGTACATTTGGGGGTTAATATATGAATATTCACCCCCCTCAATTAGTGTTCTAGTTACACATCTGCTTGACACCATTTAAACAAACTCAAGATATGGCAAACAGGTCAATTGTCAATCATTCATTAATTCAACCTTGTACCCAGTAAAGACCCTGGGTATGAGGTTGTCATTAATTAAGGACTATTTAGAGTGACTTACATTTACAGATGCTTGACCTTCGATTAATAAAACAGAATTGATCCTTTGAATTCTGCTCAATTCATGGCATCGTAAAAACATCACAATGCCATATATCAAGCAAATTGCAGGGTTCTTCTTTGCTGGATAGATGCTGCTTTCCAACAGACCACAGAGGAATTTATGCACTGTTGGACATCTGGTGGCCATCTCCTTTACAACATCAGACATCCAATCCTCACAAGATAAACCATAATAATTCCGTTGCCTGAGGACAGATTCATCACTTCTTCTTGCCACTTCAATCAGTTCCTTGTTTGCCTCAATAAGAACTTCTGAGGCATCGACCTTAATTAACATATTGTCACACTGTCATCTATACATGCCAATATATATTTTATAATATACCATATTTTGAAATTTTGGAAGTGGTGAAAGGTCTTGTAACTTGACATTAAGCACAAAACGATACTGTATAAAACATGAATACTGAAATGCAGCGTAAAATTGAGTCATTGTTCAGTTTAGAGGTCAATTCAGACGTGTGAATAAATTCATTCTTAGCGGGTGAATGAATTCATTCATGGGAACAATGAAAGTATTCATGAATATTAAATATGCCGCAAAATATTCAACAATAATACGGACGAGAACTATGTTTAAACATAAATTATATTTAAAAATATATAGAGATGAGAATAACTAAAGATATCAGAAGCTTTAAAATATCACGAACACTTACATTTGGAGATTTTTCGGCAGCAACATTACCGAAGTCAATACTTCGTCGCCGTGAAGTCCCAGCTGTGCGCACTTTAGCTGAGGGGATAACAGAAGGAGAAACTTCCACACATCGTTTTGCTCGAACATTCTCCTGTAGTTTCTGTTGAGTCTCAATGATGATATCCCTTAACTTTATCGCATTGTTCAGCCTTCTTTCACAGGCAGAACAAATTTGACGAGGAAGGTCGTTTCCATGTGGCAATTCACTACCATATACTGTCTCCGCATTGCGCAAAGTTATCAGATTCTGACTTCGAAACAAATTTTTACTGTGCTTCGGGTCAGTAACACAATAACAAAGTCTGCAACGTGAAATATTTGCCTCGGTTTTTTTCGCGTAGAGCTTTTTCGGCGTGTCTTTGCTTGCCATCGCTCGATTGAATGAATAGGTATTTGAAATTTGATAATATCTCCATACCTAAAATGTAATTTAATACTTCCCATGTTCCAGGACAGGATATTATAACTGTAATCCTGTTTCTGAAAAAACGTTCATATATTCGAGCCTATATGTATGGTTTTATGATCGAAATGAACGCGAGTACAACACAAAAAAATGAAAATTTCTGAACGCCTTAACAACGCGAGCCTCTAGCACCCCTCCCTAAGCGCAATTTCAATTTTCCCCCAGAATCTGGGGGTTCACGTGACCAGCCGCAGCCAGGGTCTTTACTCCCCACCACCACGAGTAAAGACCCTGGGTACGAGGTTGAAGGAGGCTATGCCTCTTTGAAAGTGGAAATGTCAGATCAATGGATCGGATCCATCAGACAAATGTGCTTACAGTCGGAGGAAAATTTTACCGATTGGGAGAACAGTTATCGTTATTTAGTATAAGCAATAAAATATTTGTTAACTTGAGTTGCGCTTTTTTCAAAGGACAGCAAAAATGCGATATTTCCACTTAACCCGCTGAGGGATTAGGAAATTATATACTAAAGATCTTTACACCAGTGTAGACAGTTATGTCTATACCGTAATATATATGGAAATGATCTCTGAAAGTCAAAATTTAATCCTGCTTTTTGTTTCTTGTTCACATGGCTGAAATTGTGGCTTTACAACGTCTTACTATAATATATGGTGTGTTTAAGGTTTAATGTTATATTTTGCAAAATTAGCTGGCTAAAATATTTTACAGTATATAACTATAAAGAAACCTCTTCCTTTATATGATGGAGTTGATAGACCACCGGAAATTATAAACCTTAAAGCAGTGCGCTGTGCCGCATGAATGCTTGCTGTGATTTAGCCTTAAAACTGATAATCGGAAATGTCACAATGTCACATTAACAACAGGATGTTAGCTGAACTGATGGCTAAACATCGCGCCATTGTTCAAGACTCAAGTTCTAAGTAGAAAATGATTTTGTAATACTCGTGCGATGTTAAACTGATATATTTGTCTAACAAGTTACAAAATAAGCGTTACTGTGACTCAGGCTACCGACTCCCGGTAAGCCTATATCTTGGTCAGTCCAGCCCTCCTTCGCTAATGCCGCAACGCTCTTTGTCTGATGCATACCGACGAAATCTTGTAGTATTATTGTTCTAGCACGCAAATGATGCAATGATGTTTACTTCAACTTCGTTTAATATTACATTTTGCGAAGACTCGTTTAAAATTGTCATCACTCCAAATATGATGTATTTCCGTTGATACAATCATGAAAGTATATGACTATATTTTTAGTGCGCCTTCGTTTTAATTAAAGACTGCTAATTCATAACTCATAAGAAAAACACAAAGAAAATCAGCACCGTATCGTTGTCTTGATACACGGTAATAAACGGTCTCAGCTTTCACGTTAAATCTCTCCTTAGATATAAGGTCGTTTGAGAAATAATATAATAAACTCAAAAGCTGCTTATTACCATTAGATAATAAACCTCAAATGAAGTGTGCCAAAAAACTCGGCTGTTGCCTCGCTTATCAACACACTTTTAGGTATCTAATGGTAATAAACGCTTTCTCGTTTATTATATATTTCTTATAGAGCGTGTTACGAGAACGAGGCTACAATGCATACGCATTTACAAAGCGTTCACACGAGCCTCATGCCTAAGTGGGGTGACGTATTTGTCCATTGGCATGTATCATAATAATGCAGTTTCATGTTTTAATTTACAGCTAATTCAATGAAGGACTGAAGGTCGCCCTTCCAAAACATTAAACGTTTAACCGGTCAGGGGACGGTGGGTTGTTATTCATCTAAGCTCATAATCTTTTGAAATTTATGTTTTTAAAATCAACTAACATACATCCAAGCTTATTGGATTGCCTATCATGCCAAAGTTTAATGCCATATTTAATGTTATGTGAAAACCAATCGTCTCTTGCCGCTTATAGTTAAACGTTTAATGTTTCGAAGGCTTAGGCTTAAATATTTTACATCTAAAATTATGAAAAGATTCCTAAAGAACGAGGCAACATAATTCATAATACTCCAGTTTCATGTTATAATTCACGTACTAATCATGTTTGGCATGTAAATTATGATAAGGTTTCTAGAGAACGAGGCAACATGGTTGTATGTAATACAATTCGTGTTCTAAGCTTTATTTCACTTATAATTCATGTACTATTATAAGCTTGTTTGGCATGTAAAATTTTGACAAGGTTTCTAAAGAACGAGGCAACATGGATGTATGTAATACAATTCGTTTTCTAAGCTTCATTTTACTAATTCATGTACTAAGCTTATTTAGCATGTAAAATTATGATGAGGTTTCTGAAGAACGAGGCAATATATATTTATATATATTTATATATTATATATTACAGTTTAGAATAATCCAGTTTGATGTTATGATTCATGTACTAAGCTTGTTTGGCATATAACATTATAATAAGGTTTCTAAAGAACGAGGCAACATGGTTGTAGCTATGCAATACTTCTAAGCTCACACTCATTGGCGTTTGCTTCCCATTTTTGCCATCGGTAAAAAAATTGTCGGACGGTAAGGATGTTTGTCGAATGGATCGGATCGATCGATCGGACCATTCAACATTCACACGCCGCACATTGAACGTGCACTACCACGCGAGACACGCGCGCAGTAACCCTCGCAGCAGGCCTTTATTTGTTTTCGGGCAACGGCAAAATATTGTCCGACGGTAAGCAAAATTGTCCGGTCGATCCATCCGTACCATCTGTAAGAGTGGTTTGTTGATCGGATACCGATCGTCAGTATTGGACATTTATGGAATAGTTACACCAATTTTGTTGAGCATATTCACCATTCTGAACATCCGAAGGAAACAAGCATTAATGTAAAAATTAGTGTTATGTCATTTTTACATTGCCTGTTCTTAAGACTGGCAAGAAGAGCTAGTGCATGTATTGCACCCTTTTCTTTTCGGTCAGACAAATTACCAAGGAAAAGAATGTGAATAATCTCAGCTAATAATGGGCATTCCTCTTTAAAATTAGCTTTAAGGTTTTGAAATACTTCACTATTTATCTCCACTTCTAACACCCAAATCAGTGATCGGCGTTAATTTTCCAAACTCTTCTACCAGTTGATTTCTTTCACCAGAAGTCAACTTTTTGTCATGTTCGTATACAAATTGCAGTTCTTTCTCATATATTATATCAATACTTTCAGTAGGAGCAGACACACAGTCCATTTCTTTGTTGTACATGCATAGAACGGTTCTGAGATAATTATCGTCAACAGCAGACATAATAGAATCCATCATGAGTTTTGCCTTTTGTTTATGGTTAGCCACTTCTTGTGGTAAGTTGCTTATTTTAGAGTCGCCACGAAATTTAAATGAGGATGATGATGTGGAACTTTCAAAAGAAACAGTTTGACTGATATTTTTGTATTCTCCTTTGCGAGGGTCCAATTTAACAGTGGGAAATGTCTCTTTCAGAGCCCTAGTTGTTAGACTGTGTCAAGTGCTTCCATTATATCTGAACGACTTGTTGTTTTTCCTGGACTCTCCACAAACTTTTCTTTCAAAACAGTGCTCAAGGATTCCCTTCTGCTTCTACAATAGCGAGAGTTCAAATTTGACCGCTTTTTAGCTGGTAAAATTTTGATGGACACAATTTGTGGCTATCTTTTCCTTTCTTTTTAGGTGTGCTACAGGAAGAAGGCACAAATGCACATGCTTCTTGCTCAGTATCTTAAATTGGGGAATCTATACAAAATACCACATGTTTGTCATTATTCATATTATATCAAACCATCAGCTTTCAACTATTTCTTAGTGATGGGAAAAAAGGCATTTGTACTATAACAAGGTGTGTAACTGTTAGAACTTTAAGAACTTTTAAAATATGATCATGCATAATGTATTGCATATAAATATTAATTAATATTGTGCTCATATTTTATGCATTCAATGTGAAATTTCTCGGAAGGAAAACCTCAAGAAGGCAAAGTCTTATAAAGTTGGACACAAAGTTACCTTCGATTGACATGTTTTGAATTGATACGTCCAATATATTGATTTCAGAACTCGAGTCGTCAGCTCAATCCTCAATACAACTTTTCATCACAATAACATAAAAAAACGATGTTTACATAAAAAAAATAACGACGCCAGTAGAAAGTAAATAAAAAAATGAACATCAGTAAATTTAGTATAAGTCTGAAACAGTGTGATGGTATCGATATTCGACTGATTGCACAGATATCGCCCACTTGCTATAGATATCGCCTCAAATCTGGCAGAGGTTTTTGCCTCTCTTGCCTTCTCTTTCTCCCCCACCAGCTGTTTCGCCACCAGCATTCCAATTTCCTGCGGTTTAAAACCATTTACAAACCTGACTAACCCGACGAAAACCTTTGCAGAGGAGAGAGGGAAACACCAACATATTTAGATATAACTTCCATAAATCGTTTTCTATGACGTTTCTCAAACACTGATAGTTCTTATCCTCTCGCTTGCTCTCTCGTGATCACTTTTAATGTGCTCATAATGTGATCACTTTCGGAATCAGGTTCGAATAGGAATGCATCAACTTCTTCCTCAAAAGACTGAACAACTCTGATGTCATGATCTTATTGCTTCTTAGTGATATGGCGAGAACCATAGTCTGCGATGTTAAGTTTCCCTTTTTCATATCTCACAATATAATCCAGTCCTTGGATAGCTGAGATTTGTCTTTCGATCCTAATTGAGGGGTATGTGCATATATCAGAAGTAATCTCAAAGCTAAGGTCTTAAAAAACATTAGCGAAATAATGACCTCCTGCTTTCACCAGCTTTGGCTAAATGTTCAAAATAATAATTTGAAGTCCTTAATTATTGGGGTATTATACAGGCCACCGGATTGCCCTCTTAGTTTCATTGACAATGACCTTATGCCTCAATATACCGAAGTATTATCATCGGGTAAAGACGTTGTGCTAGTGGGTGACC